TCATAATCAAGGCAGCGGCTGCAACGACCCTGTATCACTGGTTTATTACTGCCAATTACAATGCGAGTTGTTCGGGCAATAAAGCGGCAGATAATAAAAGCGGCGCACACGGCGGCTTCGGTCACGGCGCGGCTGAGCTGAGGAAATTATCCCGCTGATGCGGACCATAATTATGACCAAGAGAAAATGTCGAGGATAAATCAGAACCTGTTTTCCCGTACTCTGGTGACGTCACGCGCCATGAACTTGATGCATGTCCATGATTACATGACAGCAGCAGTCATCTTATCAACAACTTGTCAATCTAGATAGCTAGTGTTATCCTTTTTCCTTCCTCTCCACTTCCCGTGCATTATTATCGCAGTTTTTCTACACGTGACCCGCTCGTTCCCTCCCTCCTCAGCACCGGAACCGCTCCGCACTACTTTCCCATTTTCTTGCAGCGAGAGTAGCCATTATCCACAAACTGCTTCTCTCACGGCGTCCCTGCACTCCGGTGTCCTTCAGCGTCCCCTTCATCCCTGCTTCGTCTCTCTCGGTCTGCACCTCATCGCCTGCTCACTCTCTTTTCTCAAAAGCTTTTGTCGTTCTGCTGTTCTAAATTCCCTGCTCATCAAAGTTTTTCGACTTATATTTCCCTCCAACACATCTTCGACCTTCCCCTTCCTCTCTCCATCACGGCCCTCTGTTTACTTTGCCGTGGCGCATGGCTGATTTCACGCCAATCCGCTCCCTATTATGTGCCTCCTCCTTTCTTGTTTGTTTCTGTGCTGCGAATCTGAAGTCATGACCCTTGCGGTTGCCGCCAGATAATGATTCATTCGCCTCGTTTCTCCGCCGCTCGCATCCCCTGGCTCTCGCATTCAATCACAATTTCCTTGTCGTTCCTTTGTATCTCTCTCCTGCTCCTTTTCCCCGCCTCTTCGTCCTCTCGTTCCGAGTTCTCTCCAGTGCAGCAACTTCGGGCCTCTTGTATGGCACGCTGATTTGTTAACCGATCGCCTGCAAGACGCAGGTTGCAGGGCGAGCCGGGAGAGGGTAGTCAGTCCTCTGAACTGCACGGACGCTGAAGGTCACGGGCCAACGTCCCAAGGATTTAAGCCCGTGTAACTCACGCGATACTGAGCCTGCCTCGCGAGAGCCCCTCCGCGTCACAGCTAAATCTTATCGGAATGATCTTCCTTGACAAGTAATGGAGGTTCCCCGCCTGCGAGCCGGTGCACCTTCTGAGCGACGCAGGCTGCGGGCCGTCTGTCTCGCTCCCTCCGACCTTTCTGTTCTCTTCACGAAGGCAGCGGCTGGCACTTTTGGTCACAAGCACCTAATACCGCAGCAGCTTTTCATTACGAGACAAGGGACTGCGATGCTTGAATGTACGACGACCCGCACGTCGGGTTCCGCGCGACAAGGATCTAGTTTAGTGCCGCATCCAGTCGTCAGCGCCGTCCCACGGCCGCGCGTGAAGGGCAAGGGTGCAGCGGAGGCGAATGTATTATTTCCAAAGGAATTTACGATCTACGCAGGAAGGCGCTGCATCATGACGCATGTATTTCTCTTCGGCGGTCTGACGCGTTCTTCTCGCTATACAGGTCGGATATATATTATCGTTAACCTAACGGACAGACTGCACTTTGGGATTTAACAATTATTACCCTCTGCACTACAAACTCGTGATCGCAAAATCTCGCGTGGAGAAATTTACCTCCTCCTCCCGACCGGTCTCGTCCCCGGGTCCACTTAGCCAACGGGAAAATATATAGAGGCGCGCACGACGGCCGGACGATGCGCCGACACGGGTTCCCGGCTGTAATCGCCGCGCTTCCAGGGCGCTCGGCGTTGAAATCACCGGCGCTGCATTGTGCGGTCCCACGCGCAGTTGCCGGCTCAGATCAGCGCTGCATACTAATAACCAGAGTCATGTCGGCTAATTCCTGATGGCTGCTGATATGACGCGGCTGGATGTTGCAGGCCGCTCGCAGGCTGGCCAGAGAGCGATTCACCTCTCACCTTCCTGCAGCCTCCGCCTGTCTCTTTAATTATGAGATTATTTTCTTGCCTGAGGTCAGTGACTTAGTCTTACTCGCGGATCATGTTAGAAGTCTGAAAGACGTTGGGGATACAGGAGATACCATCTTAAACAAAGAGATCAAGCTTTAATAAGATAATGGCAGTGTATTAATATCCGCAGGGTATGGTGCGGTTGCCGAAAAGGATAGACTGTCAGCTGTCTAAATATCGTGATGGTAACTGACAGAACGAAGGCAAAGCGGGAGGAAAATCTTCAACAAGTAAGCGCCGATGCACCATGTCCTCCATAACGAACCAACCTCTTCCTATAGGATACGTTTGGGGAAACTTTATGAACAGGTAAGTTCGATGTAAATATATAATAGTGATTCTGGTGGCCCTAAAGACTTTCTCGAGCAACCACAACACCAAACCAACAGAAAAAGACGGAGACATTCCTCAGGACCTTCCTGAGGCTCAGCATCGGACTGACCTGAACACTTGAAGTGGGACTCATGCAGCTCGGCGACCTCCTTGCCCCGCAGCGCCGCCGGGCCGTCGCAGCGCGTGAAGAGTGCCAGCGTCGGGTGCCGTCGCAGCCAGCGCCCGAGCCACGACAGGCGGCAGTCGCACACGAACTTGTTGTCGGCCAGGCGGACGCTCCTCAGCTTCGTCATGTGCTCGAACAGCTCCCGGGGCAGCGTCGTCAGGTTGTTGTTGTTCACCGTCCTGAGGGAGAAACGGCGTCAGCACTGCAAGTCGAAGGCATCTTAGCACGGCTGTGTGTCAATAATAAAATTTCAGGGGATGTCATCTCCGGTATATATACACATATAAGCATGCAGACACACACACCCACTCACACCGTCATTCACAAATATTAATATGGAAGCAGTCATCATTACCACCAAAATCCACACGCAAGATGACTTGTAAATCATTTGCATAAACGCCGCAGACTTCCAGGGTCGTTCACCTCCCGAGGTCAGGTCGTGCGTGGCAAAGGTTTATCTCCGGCGCAGAATTAGACGGGAAGGAACAGGGCAAAGCGACGAGGACGGCGGTCGGGCCATGGAGGCGCAATTAGGCACAGACACAAGGCGCGAGGGGACAGACGCCTACTCGGGAAGACGGGCGCTCAGACGCACGCAGCGCGAGCATTGAAACAAACACACAAACACACCCGGGCCGCCACCCACCCGTAATTCGGCTTTCACGGTGAGAGGCTAATCAGGCAGGTGGCGCAGCCGAGGCCGAGTGGCATGCATAATGAGCGGGGCAGCAATAATGAGCTCGGGGCAAAGGGCAGCATGCCGGGGGCGGTCGGGCACCACTTATGCAGTCGCCATTGAGGACGATGCTTGCGATGGAGGCGGCTCCGCACCCAGTCAAGGCAAGACTCGGCGGCTCGCTGATGCTGGCGCGGGGCGGGGGCGTGGGAGCCCGCCTCTGCCCCTGGGGCTTCGGGCTGGCACTGCGGGCGTCGGCCGGGCGGGAACTGCATCTGCTCTGGGTCAACGGCGAGCGCTTCGATGGTTCCAGCCAGTTCTGTCCGAAGGGCCGAGCGCATCGAACCGGAGGCGCGAGAGGCGGGAGGCGAGGCGAGGCGAGGCGAGGCGACCCTCCGGCGGCACTCGCGCTTTCCCTCGAGAGCGGACGCGGCCGATGCCCGTCCGGCCTCGCCGACCGGCAGCCGGCCATGAGCGGCATTAATAATGCAGGATCACTTTACCAGAGAAGCGAGTAAGAAGTTTGCAGGGTAAAATCAGCAGAATTCTGAACTTTTCGAAAATCAATGGCGGGCCTTAAACTTTCGAGGAAGTTTTATAAGGGTAGAGAGAGGCACGCGCCAACTTGTTAACTTCCTCACAAGGTAAGTTAGGTGAGCTTTCAGCATTCCACAAAGCTGAACACACATCCGCAGATGCTGGAAATTCGGAAACTTATTCGCGTCTGCATAAAAAAATATTCCGATATGAAATACTGCCGACGCTCCCAGTCTGCTGAAACAAGCGGCGGAGGGAAAGCTTTTTATTTCTCGAAATCCGTTCAACCAATATTTGTTTATCATTTTCGTCGGAATCCAGACATACACCCACGCACACCCACGCCCACAAAACATACGCATGCATCTACTTGCCGATCTGTCTACCAATTCACCGACCATTCAGTCTACCTGGCTGTCTACCAGTTTCCCTTTGTCTGCATGTCTGTCTCTCTGTCTCTGTGTCTCTGCCTTTGTCTTTGTCTGTGTCTTTGTCTTTCTCTGTGTCTCTGCCTTTGCCTTTGTCTGTGAATCTCTGTCATTATTTTTCTCTGTGTCTTTGTCTTCATCTCAGTTTGTCTCCCTCCCTCCTCTCTCTCTCTCTCTCTCTCTCTCTCTCTCTCTCTTCTATCTATCTTTCTTCTCTCTCTCTCCACCTTCTCTTTTTCTCTCTCTCTCTCTCCAACCCCCCTCTTTCTCTCTTCTCTCCTACCCCCCCCCCCACACACACACACAGCACAGGAACACCCCAACATCAGCAAAAACTAAACTCACAGGACTTGCAGTTCCCGCAGCCCCTTGATGGCGCTCTCGTCGATGCATGTCAGCTGGTTGTTGTCCAGCTGCCTGTGAGAGAGCATGGTGATGAGCGTAAGGAAATGCTGCGGTTAGTAAGAACTCCTGGTAAGTAAATGTGGGAAATGCTATGGCGGACGTGACTATGACTGGGGATACTTGGAAGGAAGTCTGAGAGGAGGAACACAGAGCGGGGAGGAAGAATGAAGGAGGAGGACATGTTGCTCTGGGAGTGGAGGGCTTGACAAAAGGAACAAAATCATCATGAATATGCGGAATTCGATCACGACTTGTGAAGGCATGTCAGGGGCGTTCGGAGAGACGCGACACCTCCTCACAAGCCCTATCCCCCCCCCCCCCAAAAAAAAAAAAACGAATCGAACGAGTTAATTTCATGAGAAAACGAGCCGAGAAGACTGAAAAACAAATTGAGCTTCTCGCTCGCCGAAGTCAGTACCAAATGACTGCCAAAAAGAAGGCGCGTGTGAAGTCTTTCAAAGGCTCGAGCGAGGCAAAAACGGTAACCTTTCGTCTGGCTGAAAAAAAAAAAAAAAAAAAAAAAACTCGCAGCAGGAAAGGGACTGCAAGGGAAGAGCGAATCTTTAGAAGCAGAGAGACAGAGCGGGAATGTTTCTATTCTATTGAAGTAGCTGTAAGAATGATTTTTTTTATGTCTCCACTTCAGAGAAAGAGGCGAGCGGGGAAAGAGGGAGGCATGGAGAAAGGAGAAAAGAATGGGAAATAAAAAGAACGATGGAAAAGTTGTGTGTGTGTGAGAGAGAGAGAGAGAGAAAAGAAGAGAGAAGAGAGAGAGAGAGAGAGAGAGAGAGAGAGAGAGAGAGAGAGAGAGAGAGAGAGAGAGAGAGAGAGAGAGAGAGAGAGAGAGAGAGAGAGAGAGAGAGAGAGAGACACACACATACAGACACACATACACACAGACACACACAGAGAGAGAGAGAGAGAGAGAGAGAGAGGAGAGAGAGAGAGAGAGAAGAGAGAGAGAGAGAGAGAGAGAGAGAGAGAGAGAGAGAGACACACCACACACAGCACACACAGAGAGAGAGAGAGAGAGAAAGAGAAGACAGACAGAGAGAGAGAGAGAGAGAGAGAGAGAGAGAGAGAGAGAGAGAGAGAGAGAGAGAGAGAGAGAGAGAGAGAGAGAGAGAGAGAGAGAGATGAGAGAGGAGAGAGAGAGAGAGAGAGAGAGAGGAGAGAGAGAGAGGAGAGAGAGAGAGAGAGAGAGAGAGAGAGAGAGAGGAGAGAGAGAGAGAGAGAGAGAGAGAGAGAGAGAGAGAGAGAGAGGAGAGAGAGAGGGAGGAGGGAGGAGAGATGGAGGGAGGGAGGGAGGGAGAGAGGAGAGAGAGAGAGAGAGAGACAGGGAGAGANGGAGGCGAGAAAGAGACCGTTAGAAGAAAGGGGTATATGGAGAGGAGGAGAGAGAGAGAAGAGAGAGAAGAGAAAGGAGGGGCAGAGAGAGAGAAAGAAAGAGAGAAGAAAGACAAAGAAAAAACCGAAAGAACGGGGGAGGTTGAGGGTTTTCTTAGATGAGAGAGATGTTATTTGAGGAGAGAGAGAAATTTGAGAGAGTAGAAGAGTCTGTTTTTTGAGACAGACAAAAGACAGAGAGAGAGACGGAGAAGACAGACAAAGAGAGAGAGAAGAGAGGTATGAGTTGATTGGGGGAGTTTTTTGATATGATCGACAGGGAGAGAGGGAGGAGATTATGAGAGAGGAAGGGATTTTGTGAAAGAGAGAGAGAGAGAGAGAGAGAGATGAGAGAAGGAAGATGGATTTAGAGAGAGAGAGAGAGAGAGAGAGAGAGAGAGAGAGAGAGAGAGAAAAAAATTTTATGGCTCAAGTACCGGAAAAGCCGAGGAAAACCGTTTAAAAACAGCCATTTTTCTTACTTCATCGGCCATGCAAGCCAGCCTCGGCAAAAGAACAGTTCATCATTGCATGCTTATTTTGTCGATGGGTCTTTCTGCCCGATGGGAAAGTTAAAGACCGAATCTTGGATGGATTTTGCACGTCGGATAATCTTGAATAACCTACCAGAGTCAACCGAAAAAGGCAAAGATATCGGTATATACAGTATGAAAGCTGTGGACCATAACAACAAGCAAAAAGCGGCCTAAGATGAGGTTCTCTCTCTCTCTCTCTCTCTCTCTCTCTCTCTCTCTCTCTCTCTTCTCTCTCTCTCTCTCTCTCTCTCTCTCTCTCTCTCTCTCTCTCTCTCTCTCTCTCTCTCACACACACACACACACACACACACACACACACACACACACACACACACTAAAGCACGCACACACGTATACATACAAGAGACACGAGAAACCAAGGAGTGGAAAAACTGAACTGCCGGCATCTGGAAGACAAGGGTCACCAATAATGCAGAATAAAACCACACGTCTTAACCTGCCGCAGAAAAAAAACACACACTTCGGAGGAGGAAGAGGGGGAAATAGGAGATACAAAAAGAATAAACTAGAGAAAAGGAAGAAGGGAGAAAATATGAGGAAGAGGAGGGAGAGAATGTGGGTCGCAGAGGGTGGAGAAGGGACGAGGTAGACAAAGGAGAGGAAGGGGAGAGGAGGCGAGGAGGAGGATGAGAAGGTGGTATATGCAGGAGGGAAAGGAGAAAGAAACGAAAGCGACCAGGACAAGGAGAAGGAGGTGGAGGAGGAAGAGAAGGAGGAGAAGGAGGGAGGCGGATGCTTCAAAATACAAACGGTATAATCTGACACCTGCAAGCTCCTGAAAGGATAAGATAGCTCGTGAAGCAACGCGGGGCCATTCAGTGACTATTTGTGTAAGAGTGGATTAGCCCCCCTGCCCTCCTGCCCCTCCTCCCCTCCAGACTCCCTTGCCCCTCCCCCTGCCACCCCGGCCCTCCTCCCTCCTTCCCGAATAAAGCTAGAAGTAGATCAAGTCCTTTTTTGCAGTCTCGCACCTCATACATGCCGGCCTTGATGGTTCCTGGGGCGTCCTTGTTGTAACTGTATCAAGAAACTCGCAAAAGGCCTAGGGTGAAACGCCGTCTTTCAGCCCCAAAATTTGCACATGCAATTTGCAAATTCACACACCGGCCAAACAAAAAATAAAAAAAACAAAAACACATCTATTTGGATTCATCTTATAAAGGCCACAGTCATTCTTACTTTTTTTTATCGCTCCTCCGCGACAAAAACCTTATACGGAGACACTAAACACGGCTCTGAGCTCTATAAAAGGGCAAATTATTATGCTCCCGCGCGCATATATTACCCAACCCTTACGTATTCACCGCTGGACTTTCTAACCCGAACGCGCGGATATTCGGATCCATATTCGTTCGATGCATGATTCACCGCTGCACTTTCAACTATGCGACTATTTATTTTCCTCCGCTCGCGCAGGGGCCGGCAACGCGGCGGCGCTCCCAGGCGACCTCCAGGAGCGGGCAGCGTTGTCAGAGCCGAAGCGCAGCCCCGGAAGAGAACGACAATAATCGTCCGGCGAACATCAGCAGCAGAAGAACAGGACGAAAAAAAGTTTTTTTCGTCTGAGAGCGTCTCGTCACGATTATATCATCTTTTTTGCTCGTTGTGCTTAATTATATATATGTATATGTATATGTTATATATATATATATATATATATATTATATATATATATTATATATATAATGATATGAATGTCTGTATGCATGTGTGTATGTATATAGATAGGTACGTATGTATGTATGTATTTGTGTGTGTTATATATATATATATATATATATAGATTATAGATAGATACATGATATTATATGTGTATATCTATATAGATCTATATCTATATATCTATATATCTATCTATATCTATCTATTATCTATATCTATCTATCTTATCTATCTATCACATACACTATATCTATACACACACACACATACACACATCACACACACACACACACACACACACACACACACACACATATATATATATAATATATATATATATATATATATATATATATACACACACACACACACACACACACACACACATATACATATTATATTTATATATATTTATGTATGCATGTGTGTATACATTAGTCACTGGTTTGTATTTATTAATGAAAACAAGCGCAAATGCCGTAATTCAGAGCAACCAAGCAGCATCACAAAAGGAACGTATGACCCCCCCCCCCAAAAAAAAAAAAAAAAAAAAAAAAAAAAAAAAAAAGTCATCCCATATTTGCACCCCGACCTTGAGGGGGCGTCCTACCCGCGCCCTGGCACCCTGAAATCCTAACAGCCACCCCCCCTTCCCTCCCTCCCCCTACATGCCTCCGTCGTCATGCCGTAACCCTACCCTGTGTGGCGCCGCGGGTCAGGTGATCCACCAAAACAACGGCATGCCAGCCAGCGCCAAGGTCACCGCCGAGCCTCGACGCCGCGGCCTCCCCGGGTCAGCCCCTCGACAAGGCGCTCGCGGGTGATGATGCCCTTACATAGAGGTCGACTCGAGGCAAAAACTTGTAGGACCCTTGACGTCTTGGGTTGTTTGGGGGAGGGGAGGGGGGAGGGAGGGGGGTGGGGCAGGGGAGGGCGGTGGGGAGGTTGTTGATGTTTAGTAGATGATATTGGAGATGATTATGGACAGAGAGGAGCTGGATTCCTTTAAGGTCTTTTAGGTATGCGGAGAGGGGAGGAGAGGGGAGGAAAGGGAAGAGAGGCGAAGGAGAGGAGGGATAGGAGGGGGAGGAGTGGGGAAGGAGAAGGGAGAGGTGGGTAGGAGAGGGAAAGAAGGAGAGGAGAGGAGAGGAGAGGAGAGAGAGGAGAGGGAAGGAAGAGATGGAGAGAGGATGGAAGAGGTGGGGAGGAGGAAGAGGTGGGGAGGAAAGGAGAACAGGAGTGGGGAGGAGAGCAGAAGGGAGAGGGAAGCAGGAGAGGAGAGGAGAGAAGAGGGACAGGAAGCAGGAGAGAGAGGAGAGGAGAAGAGAGAGAAGGAGAGGGGCGGGGACAGGTTCTTTTTTAACATTCAGAGTTTGCTTTTTAATTCCCCGCTCCTACAAAGACGAAAAACCCGGTACGTT